AACTCAATTAAGTATATTATCTGGTTCACCATTGAACCAATTCACCCCGTGCTATCACGCGTATCTCCAGCTTCTACCTCCGTCGAACACACACTCAACACGATTTTTCTCTCCGGTAATTTCCATCGAAAAAAAAGTCTTTTTAGCAATTTTGCCGGGTTTGGCACATTTCTTGAAACATCTATTTCCGATTATTTCTACATTTCGAACTTATACATAGAGTATGCGCATCGTAATTGAGGTCGTCGTCTCGTTGTTGTGGAATCGCGTTCATCATCGTAGACGTTCTAGTTAATACAATACTAGTAACGGACGAGACTTTAATGACAAGACAAACAGACACCAAGTATTTATACTCCGAGTGTTATCTGTGAAATCCCTTTATCCAAGGCACACACCAATTATCCAATCATACTCAGGTGGTTGTCAAATAATCAATTTTCCCGCCATAAAAATATACTTATTCAAATATAATCTGTGCAATGTCGTCTGCGTTTCAAGGTTTGTGAAACATGTACAGCCCGATGTTGAGAGAAAACTTTCATTGATAGTTCTATCGGATTGAAAATAGGTTTAATAAAAAAAATGATAATTATGATACACTATTAAGTTTTATATCTGTATAGGGACATTTCGTTAGATTGTAATACATATCAAAAATATTGTAATTTCGATGAGTTATTGTGTTTTTCATACAAATCTGTAAGTACTTACCGACACTTTTATCACTCTGATCAATAAGCCTTTGAAGTGATTCGTATTTATAGTGCGGTCAAAGTGCGAACGAAACCTCGTCAACACTCGGCTCAGTTTGGACTAACGAAATCGAAGTCTGCCTGGAAACGCGACGATTAGCCGACTTCGTAAAATGAAATGACCGGCTGTAAAAACTTCAGTGGGATATCTTTATCAAATTTTATCACTGATTTTTTGACAAGTTTACGATTTCCCAGGTCATTTTAATCAAACTTTTACAGTCTTTACTGGAGAACGTCTGGCAACTATTAACATTGCACGAAGTCTGTGGGATTTTATGGCATCAGTCATGTATGCAAGCCACGAGACGAAGATGTCGTCTGCGCCCGGGCTCCGGTAGATCGATAGGGGTATACCCAAATGATGGCGAAGCTATCATCTGATTTCGATTAGCCTATAGGATGGCAGTGTTATTAGAGATGATTCCATACACAACAAATATCGTGCCGAGAAACAATTGATGCATTCTACCACTTTAACAAAATAGAATAAAAATATAGAACTAGATACAAAATAACGAGTCGTGTATAGTTCACTAAACTATGTTTCATTACATTTTCTTGTTTAACTTTAGTCCAATCACGAAGCGCCCAAAACTTCAACTCAAAGTGAACCCAGTCCAGTGTGCAAACAGAAATTATAGTCGGATTCCATTGCAAAATGGTAAACATGTATTAATTGCACGTCGGAGCGTTGCTTAGGCTACGGTGCCATATTGTTCGAACCAGTAGTTACGCAATTCATACTTTCATCTGAAGCGAAATTAATCCCTTTTTCCAGAGCTTTTTCTTTCAGCATGACAAAAAGTTGTATGTCTCTGACGTCACTACTGTCTGACAGAGAGTGGCCTGATGTGACATTGTGCAATCGACCAATGAAATATTCAGAATTGCTGTCAACAAAACGCAACATAAACACTGATTTATTATAAAATATGGCACAAAAATGAAATGCTTTAATTTTGTGATTTCACACACACAATACGCAATATTATAAAATAACAAGTCAAATGAGGTATCGAGTTATACCAATGGCATACGGTTGTATTGAAATAATAGTTATGGAACTGTCACAGTAATGGTTCATGACTCAGACTGATTTCCTTATCCCTTTATAACTAATTGTTATTATTATAATTGTGAGTTATTTTTTGATTTATTTTGTAGCTAATATTGTTTTAATGTGTGCGTATACAGTGCACTGTATTTAACAAGGCTTTTAATAAAATAAAAAATCAAATTAAATTAATAAAAAAACAGTGTAGAATAACCGCATTGATGATGAGAAGATATTATCAAAACATCCCGATGGTCTTCAGGCTACGAGAATATAATAAAATAGCCTGAATAAAAAAAAACGACGTGTAAACAATTGTGATATCTTAACCAGTAACATATACTAGTACTTATCTGTCGCGAAACTCAAGCGGAATCAACCATATTAACGATGGTAAGCTCAGAGAGTGGCTTGCTGTTACTGTGTGGGCATTTAAATACAGTGCTTTCAGTAAAATATTTAAAGACACGTTTGAGAAACATGTACAAGGCCAAACTGGAAATTATGCTTGCATTTTAATTGCGGCATGAGAGTTGAGGCGTACTATTGGACATATGTGCAGAAAATACTACTAAAACGATGCTAGAAAGGTCGACCGATCGGCTGGAAATTGAGAAATGGGAAAAATGTGTTTTCAGAATTCACGACACATCCATGATATTTACTAGACGAGTTTTGATGACCAATCGGGAAATACAATTTTGTCAGCACGCAGAGACTTCGATTACTTAGTTGATCTAATTTGACGCTAAACCAGCAACACTCATATCGAAAACATCTTTTTTTATACAACAGTGTTCGTGTTTTTATGATATACGAGGATTTTACACAAATGTTCTCGTTTTTTTTTAATAATGCACGAGGTTGTTACACAAATGTGTACGTGTTTTTCTGATGTACGAGGTTTTCACATAAGAGGTTTTTATACGAATTCGCTCATGTTTTTTACCGTTTTTTATGATGTAAGAATTTTTTACGCGAATGTGCTCGCGTCTTGATGATCTACGAAGTTTTTACACGAATGTGCTGGGTTTTTGTATGATGTACTCGCGTTTGTGCTCGCGTTTGTATGAGGTACGAGTATTTTACACAAATGTGTTTTCATGATATACGAGAATCCGGGTTTTACACAAATAGTTTTTATGACATACGAGGATTTTACACGAATGTGCTCGCATTTTTATGACGTTTTACAGTGTGTTGAAGCACCTCCATGGTTGAAGGTAGTCTTCGGCGTACGGTGTACGTTCGAATTTCGTAAAAAAACAATGTATTTTACACGTGTTACATTTGTCGCATGGGACCCATAATGTATACTCCCGATGCGATGATCATCGTCTCTTAATGCACCAAGTAGAATCTTTCCTATATACTGTACTCATATGCTAGTATGTGATTGAATTGATGAACACGTGTATGTTTAACAGTGTTCAATATTTCCCCCATCTTTTCTTATCGTAGAACACACCAGTTTCAAGTACAATTGCCATTAAATCAGCTAGCGTTGTGTTGCTTATTAAATTAATAATTATTAACAGTTTAAATTATAGTAAAGAGGGGATGCCTTGTAGAATTTCATGAATGAATGAATGAATGAATGAATGAATGAATGAATGAATGAATGAATGAATGAATGAAAAAAATGGCGCTCAAGACACTAAGGTGTATACTGAAGAACATTTCTGTCGTACATAAATTCTCAAATCATTAACCGGAAGTGGCATGTCTTAGTATCGCATTTTAAGTGTAATTTCTCTTAGATTCGTGGTTTAATATTCGATTGAAGGTTTTTTCTACCAACGCAGTGGCATTGAAGTTCACACTATTGAATTAATCGAAATTCCCAGGTTTGTTCGAGTTTAAACGTCAAAAATCGAGGACGGTTTTTTTACTCATTGTTTTTTCATACTGGTTTATCCAACTCTTAAAACTGAGTCAAAATCACCTTTGTGGTGTCAAGACCTGAAGTAAACACATTGCAATGTGTCATTAACGTTGTATACATTCATGATAATATACAAATAGCTAGAAAATTAACTTGTGGCTGACCAAAACTTCATTTTCCATCTGTTTAGGTACTGTTAGCATATACATAGAAGCTGTCTAGGCGATGCTTCAATATACGTAGCATGGAAATCCTAACATATCACTCTAGGTGCGTTCGTTTGGTGCAACAAGGGTCATTTTGACTCAGTGTTATGAGATTAGAAGATAAACTATCTTTACATGATCAATAAGTAAAAATATGAACAGAATTACAAAATAGAACGGAACTTGTGTCTCTATAGATAGCTGGGAAAGTTATTTTTATTGGTCAATGACCGCTGCTGTCAAACCAAGCATATGGCAAATACCCTGCGATTTGTACATATACCTTTCTCTATGGACAATGGTTTGTAACTATTTCTCACTAACTACCAAAATCAGCACACACAAGTCGCGATGTATGTGGCCGCCAATAAACTCCCAGACCGCGCTAACTTTGAAACAACGTTTACATTACGTCCCTAGTGCAGGCGAAGCTAAACAAATCGTGGCCTTAACTCTGCGTGCAGGGCGGTCTACATACTGTATGTGTAGCGAACCAATAATAAGTAGCGTATTAGTAAGGTGCAATAATTATTCCTCTTTTGTCGTCTGACACAAAATGACTCTTTCAAAAAAAACTGATTGTTTCAATACAATATGTCGAAAAATCAAAATAATATACGTCGAACGAAAAAATAAAGAAAATTGCTTACATTAATAATCTGAAGTAAATGTTTTATGATCCGAATTTTCAAAATGAGCAAAAAAAATGTACGATTCATCTCAATTCTCTATTTTCTAAATCATTTGAGAATGGATCAACAATTCACCAACCATGACCACATCCTAGGCTTGCGATAACACCATGACATGTATGTCTATTAGATCTATTAAATAGATGTATAACACATCTCAATAATACAAATATATATACTATTTTATGCAATATGAGCTATGTTACGATACAAATATGGAATAATAAATAATCGTTTAAATATTCATTCAAAAAAGAAAATAAATGACGAATTATGGAATGAAATGTCCGTTGGCAGAATTGTGTTTTGGAAAAAGTAATTCACAGTTTTCTGTTACGATGATTTTTCGCGGAGAAAGAGTGATTACAATGTATTCTTATGTGATTATATTTTATTTGTCTGTAGGTTTTAAAGAAACCTCGTTTCTCTACGCTATATCATCGGCGGGACTGGCTCACTCGGTCGCCAGGTCGTGCAGCAGGGGTATTTTGGACAGATGCACGTGCGACGAGTCGTTTAACGACCAAACCAACAGGGCGACATGGAAATGGGGAGGGTGTGGAGACAACTTAAAATATAGTCAAAAATTTGTACAAAATTTTCTACAGCTCGAAAGTACATCGAGGGGTCAGGATTTGAGAGCGAAAGCGGAAAAACACAACAGTGAGGTCGGAGTCAGGGTAAGTCTTGTTAATTTCTTCATCCTTCGTATACTATATTTGTTTTGAATGCACCGATGGGAGTTATTGATTAAGTTGGTATTTGACTTCCTTGCGTAATTCTCTATTTATTAAAGAATGCTTCGTCTAATGTTCCATAAATTTATTGTAAACATTGTTTTATTTGTTTTTTGCAAACCATTGGGCTTACTGGGTCTACGGGAAATCTTAGCTACGGCCAACTGTCAGACAGAGTACGGTGTTCAGTCAAGGCTCTTGAACAAGACGACCACCCATGATAAATGGTAGTCAGATATGATTCTAATGTTACACCGTGTCCAAATTCCCCTCCCATTCACGCCCTCTAACGTGTCACTCATCACACACGTTACGGTCTGCTACGGGGGTGACCGTCATTTCTGTCAATAACGTTTATTCAGTTTACACAAGGCCGCGGACACCCAGTACCGGTAAAATTAACACCGAAATTACGTCGTCCTTGCGCTTGAACCTAATATGTTTAACATAATGAGTTGGAATTTTAATATATATATATATATATATATGCGCATTGGTTAGTTTCTCACATAAGTAGGAAACAAGCTGAAAATCATATTTTTTTATCTTCCAAATGTAATTACTAATATTCCGTAGTTGGATGGCTGACTGATTTTTACTCACGGGCAGACATGTCGTGCAAAATACGGAATGTTCCTTTGAAAATGTAACTTTGTAATATGTATCATTGCCACTCGTTAAGATGAAAGCTTGTTCCCCGAAGATTATATATGTGCGGTAATTGAACCAGAAAGCTCGAATAAAACAAACATCGAAAACTGCCCACGTTTATCCACCAATGGAATACAGTCCGTGAACGATTTGGTTTGTCGAAATACTCACAATGAAAACGTGTTTTTTTTTTCTGTACCATTTTGACTGTTATATCATAAACGTGTTACTAGCGTAATCATCCGTGACGAGATTTAGCTTGTTTTATTGCAACACCAGTGTTCTTTTACAAGTGTAGTAGAGAAAACAGCATACCTATAATTTGGTTGTACAAATGCAACATGCATGATTTTCGTGATCCGAATCACGTTCCGACCCATCCATCACTCTCGTGGCGAATATTTAGACGTCTTTTGTGTTGACTTTTCTCGTTGGAGGGTGACGGCCTATTCGGTTCTTTCACGGGCCCATGGAATGGACAGCAATGATATGTACGTTGAAATTAGACACGGCTTGAATTACTAGAAGTTGAGGGCATCGTTAGCTGAGAAAAAAAACGACATGAATACGTACACGTTGTGTCGTTAGGGTTACTTTAACTTGGATATTCTGTGGAAACCAATCGTCTTTACCTGTATATTGTATCTTCGAATCCGAGCGTGAAAAACAGCCAGGCCACGCTTTGTACCGTTTTCATGGCGTAACAAGCAAGCTATAAACACGTAGTGTTTGTAAAATACAATGCCCTTCCAGTTTTAAGCAGCTGTGAATGGCGAGGTCTAACGGTGAAATTAATTGTCTCTACTAAGTCGGTCGACAACAGCATCCGAATAGGTCAAATTCACCCGGGGTGTTCCTTTTTAGTTATTTAAATTTCCCAAGCTTTGCTTAAAAACCCGGTTCCTATTTCATGACGCTTGTTTCCCGGCGGTAATGCGCCACGCTTAAACAATTCTTCTATTTATTATTTCGTTTGGAGTTGATGTCATTTCAAAAGTTCTTTTGTCAATTCGTCTCTTGTATCATTCTGGCAATACTAATGTGGTACGCTAAGTTGTAACAAAATAGGCGATACTTATCAGAAGAATGGTAAGTGATGTTTAGGATATGAATTGGCGCACATGCAGTCAACGAAACTTGGGCTACGAATGCAATGCTTTCCAATCTGCAAACAAATTACTGCGAAACCAGCTCACACAGGTTCTCGGCGGATTACTATGCCATTGTTATGTTATTTTGTTGGTGCTTTCTTTGAAGTGTGCGGATTTTGGTCTACGCAATAGTATATGATTTATCATTAAGTTATTTTCTGTACACTGTTTAAAAATCATTTCAAGAAAAGAATTATCGAAACGTACGTAGCATAGCGCACATGTGCACTACAGGAAAAGCCATTATGCAAGAACGCGACCGCAATGAAAAGAGAAACTAGTTTTGAAAAGCAGCAATTTTTAAGTGTTTAACTTTCTTTTTCTTTTAATAATAATTTTGTACCAGGTGACCATTTCCAACATTAAATATCAATGTTGTTTCTCCTGAATTATGAGCGTATGACTCGTCAACGCAAATAGCAGGCCGCGGACCTTCGGAACAAACGAAAAATGCACATTCATAATTACCTTATTCTTGCGTTGGTTCCTTGTGTAACAGTCTAGACAAATCACGATAATCAAGTTTGACCCAATGAACCAAATAATAAACGGGTGAGTTTTAGCTCCGACCTAGCTCGCCAAATTATAGCATATACCGTCCCTATCTATCCACTAAATGTCTAGAACTATAGAAACCGAAGCTCTTCATTTATTTACAGTATCAGTGCAAGCCTCAGTACAAATGGTTCATTTTGCTTAAATTTGCCTTTATTTAATAACATGTCACACTTTTAATTAGTATGCCAATGTAGTTTTTATTTGGAATAAAGGGGTCAACGCAATGACATGTAAATAGTTACACAATAGCGGTCTGATGTAAATCTGCACACACGCCAAATGCCGCCAATCTTTGCAAATTTTGTTTTGAGCGGTCACGCTACAACATTTGTATCATCACAGACAAGTGGCAACGTTTATACAGTTTTATTATTCAATTTTCAGGCGAACCGTTCTTCGGTGTTTAAAGTGAGGACGTCGTCACCTGCGCATGCGGCAGACGGCCATGTCGTGTCGTCGTTTACAAACACGCGTCTACCCATGAGCCTTTGCATTTTGCGAGTGCGCAGGTGACGACCCTTCGCTTTAAAGTTTCGAATATTTTTCGCGTTTTCAAGATTAATGTATGTAATTATGCAATTTTATTGGCGTGGTTCATGCTAAATCGAGATAGTGATAATTTACCATTCATTATTTTATCTGATTTTCCGGGAGGCTATAACACACAGCGATGTCCGTCTATCACCGGACTTGTACTCGTGGTAGATACGTGCACTCCTGCATAAACTTGTACATCTATACACTTGCACTCTGGCATTTGCTCCCCTGATAGTCAAGCTATTTCCGTCACGGTTTGTCAAGTAACATTGTTGTCAAATTGTTCATTGGATGCATGTCACGGTTTCATAGTCGTGTGACCAAAACTATATTTTTCATCGTAATAGAAATCACCACTAAAACAACTCAGGAGTGTTATCCGACAAGTATCGTATATTCATCTTTTGTTCTTTTTCAGGCTGTGCGTCAAGGCTTCAACACGACATGTAAGTGCCATGGGGTATCGGCCTCGTGTACGACGCGGACTTGCTGGCAACAGCTTAGCCCGTTCCGAGAAATTGGCAATCAGCTTAAGGAAAAATACGAGAAGGCATATAAAGTAGTAAGTACGACCAACGAGTCGACGGGGACGTCGCAGTTGGTAACCAAGAGCCAAAAAGGGAAATCGAGAGGCGCCACTGCTACAGACGGTGAAGAACCACCACCGAGACCGAGCGATCTTGTGTATGTGGACAATTCGCCACACTTCTGCAAAAAGTCTAGGTTTTCACCGGGAACTGATGGTAGACGTTGTTTGGTTGGCCCAAATTGCAATAGTATTTGCTGCGGACGAGGTTACAATATCAAAACTAAAGTTGTGGAGAAGTCCTGTAAATGTCGTGTTGTGTGGTGTTGTTATGTCGAATGTGACATGTGCTCGGAAAGCGTAGAGATTCATCTGTGTAAAAATAACCCAGACAATTAGAATTATGTTTCCAGTGTATATATACAGAAAAAAAATCATCCGGACAAACATTTCGTCGAATGGAGTTATTGACGCATGCGTATGCGCAGACTGACGACAGAAAGACTCATTGTTTTGCCAGTGTTTATCATAACTGATGTCGTAAATTAATAGGTCTCATAATGACATATCTGAAACTATATTTGATGTATTTTTGTGAACGATTGCCGAAAACAATTTCTCACCACACTGTTTCCAATGAGATACAGGTGGGTCACGTGACATTTGCGGAGAATATTGAGAGTGGCATAGACAGTGAAGGCCGTGCACGTCAGGCATGGTATTTTAGTTTCTCTGTATTAATCTTGTTGTGATCATAGTTGGACCATATGACTAGAAGAAACCGGGTTTCTTCGCAACGAACAATTTATTTCCACCGTAGAACAGTGTTTGTTTGGTATTAAGCACTTTTTATGGTGCGCATATATCATAGATCGACGCGGATATGCCGAACAAACAGGGCTTTCATACTGATGTTTTTATTTTATTAACTTTCGGCTCTGTACACAGCTGTAAATTCGCAATGGCATTTATTGCTGACTGCCAGACTATTTGATGATTAATTCATGTACAAAGTGTTCGTATGTCGTCCATGACGGCAAGTGGAGAATGTTCCAGAGTGGGAATCCAACAAGAATCGGGAAACATAATTCCCTAATTCAGCGTTCACTCTGAAAAAAATGTGTATCATTGGTCAAGTCGCTCTTAAGTCGCATAATTGTACTTTATACGTTTGTGATGGTCTTAAATTATTGCCAGATATTTGCAACTTACTTTTCTGAGTCATTCTGAGTCCAAATTACCCCGTTGAGGGCAGACTTATTTCTCCATGCCCTTATTCCCGTTATCCTCGATTGCATTGCCCGTTCATTGACATTCGCGCGTTATCATTGGGAAAAATTACAACTACATCATGTTTCTACATGTCCCCATATTCTCTGACAAACTGTTGGTCTCACACCAGTGATTTATATCGTAAACTATTTTCCTATTTTACATCCTTCTATAAATTAAACTGTTCTGCTTTAGTAGTTTATACTTCGCGATCATCACGTGACTAGAATAACGATTACTACACACGGTTAAAAAATACTGTAGAATGACTAATTTTCACTGGGTTTAAATTACACTGATTTACCATTTCAGGCATATTCAATGGGCTTTAAATTCATAGTTTTATCATTTAGATAATGTGTCCTATATTCAATTTTACATATTCACTGGGTTTAAATTTAGAGCATTTTCCGGTCAGCGAAAAAAGCAAAATTGAAACCCAGTGAATAATTAATCTTTTTACAGTACATGATTTGTTCGTGACACTGTTGTTTATGCAAATACGATGACGGTACACTCTTTGAAAACTGGTATATTGGGGTTTGTTTGATCGTTGGCGTTCAAAATAGGACGACACTGGAATCTAAAGAAAATGGATATTTGTTTCTTGTTTTAAAAACTTTAAATTATGTACAAAAACGTTGTTTTAGTTTCAACACTTCAGGTACTTTGCTTCAATTACGCCATATTGGTTGTCACTACGTTTCAAAGACAATGATGTCATATGTTTGTCACTACGTTTCAATGGCGCTATGTGATCTGTCATCGCATTTCAATAATTGCGATTTGTTGACGTTTCGCACACGTGAGACATATTTTGGTGGTTTTATTTCAATAGGATGATCATCGTGATAAAAATTATGATAACGAACAATAATAGCGATGACAGATATGGGGGCGGGTCAAAGTCACACATGCCTTTGCTAGTAAAAACAGATGCAATACCGAAACGTTATTCAATTACTGTAACATCTCGCCCAATCTGAGACGTGACAAGGTATGTATCAGCGGACGTCTTCATAAGATACCACTATGCCCCAATGTACATGTACAGTTAGTAATACGTTGAATTGTCACCTACAATGAATCCCATTACTGGTTGTATTCACTGTCACATAATGAGTTGCAGGAGCGGCCAGAAATTGGTATGAGGTCACCCCGAAAGGGGGAGAGTCATCCAGGTGACTGTGGTCACCCAGGGACGGTCAGGGCAACATCAGAGCAACTCGGGGAGGACATGCAGGTGACTGTGACGTCACATTAGATGATCACCAAGGGCATAAATGATGGATTCAGAATCAAAAGTTCAAGAAGTAAAAACGTAGGCCGTCCCATATTATAGTATTATAGTTTCATCCACGGTGATACATTTCCCTTGGATGGCAATTGAGGTGATGCATACTTTTAGTTTATACGAGCTTTCTTCCATCAATAAAAAAAATACCGGTAATACGAATTGTTATATTACGTACCCCGACAAATATTAAAGCGAGGGAGTCGTCACCTGCGCATGCGTCAGATGGCCATAGCGTGTCATTGCTTATAAACAAATCATGTCTACATATGAGCCTTTGCGTTTTTAGCGTGTGTTGTTATCGTCACTTGGACTCAATTCCCGCGCGTGCGCAGGTGACGATCCTTCCGCTTTAATGTTACAGTCGTTAGTTGAATAACACGACATTAAATCATTTCCGGTAATATTTGTGTCCAAGTACGTCATTGAATCTGCCATGTTTTATTCTATGGCCGCTAGAAGCAAATGGCCGCTGAGATTTCGTTGAAAACAAGAGAGGCACTATGTTTTTTGTGTCTCTCTAATTGTGGTTATGTCGTCTCCCGTCATCGCGTCCACTGTT